ATCGAAACAACAACATCGCCTACAAGTTTGCGCCTATGTTTGATTTCACTATCACTAGGGCTGTTGCTTTCTCTTCATCATGTTCTCCTATCACTATGATGGCCACTTTGGCTGCTGCCTTTTTTGTTGTCGTTGTTGCAAGTACTGTTACCATTGCCCATATGGCAATTCCAATAACGGCCAGTATTCTTACAGTTGTTGCTTCGTTTTCTGTTTGCATTGTCATTTTTCTTGTGGTTGATGTTGGAATGACATTTACCCAAAGCATTATTGCTAATAACTTAATATGTTCATCACTAACTACTACCATTATCGTTGCTAGCATTATTGTTGTTGTTTGCTATTATGTTTCTTTCTTCCATCTTCAGTAGTAATGCCTATATAATTTCTGTGTATAGTATCCTGTTACTAGTAGATTTGATTATGCTCATCGCTGCGGCTGCGTGGAGCATCCTCAGAGTTGCGTGCGAAATAATGCTGCAATAGATTTTGGATCCATGCGCTAAACATCCCGTTCTCGCCAGGGCGTCTTCATTTTTTGCTAGAAATCGCGCTCTCGTGTTGAGCGTCCTGATGTTCTGTTATGGCATGAAATTCTTGCGTGGAACGCCTCGGTTCCCATGGACTCCTAGCAAGCCACCAGATACACAACACATACCACTCACAAAGCATAAATCATGTAAACTAACTCCAGCCGTTTTAGGGCTCTTCTGCCTGAGGTGGTCCTTGCAATCGCCAGTACGTTTGTACAGTTCATGCTGTCGCTCAAGTCCGCGAGGTGTGTAAACTAACTTACCACAGCGCTGGATCACGCTCGCTTTTCTCATCTTCATTAGCATATCCATCAGCAGCAGCGTCACCGGCAGCACCGCCACCACCATCATCATCATTATCATCAGATCGGGATCATGTTTTTTTTTTTGTTGCTTTTTTGAATTTTTCTGCACATGAATTTTCGGGCGCCAGGCTTCTGTGTGAAGGGCTTCGGGGTGTGTATGTCTGGTAGTCGACGACTTGGAGGCATCCAAGTCGTCACTGCGGGAGTTCCATGTGGGAGGTTATCACGTAAGCACCGCTGTGGCAGGCCTAATGGAACTCATATAATATGCCCTTGTTGGACTTGCACGCATTTTTATGCGCATTGAATAAGCCTTGTAGGTGCGTGCCCGTTAATTACCCGCGTGGAACTATTATTGGCCTCCGGTTGCTGCTGCAGCCTGTGAATGGCAGTCCTGTTTAAGAAGGCAAAAGCAATTGGGCATAGCATAGCTTCTCAGGATGCAATGTAGCCTCAGCTGTCTTGCGTTGGATGTTTTGGGTGGGGGGATTCAAGCCTTTGATCCAGAGGGTTTTCTGGCAGCTCCAGCGATCAAGAAGCAGGTCACTCAGCAACCTTCAGCTTCGTTTTTGGTTCGATGCTGTGCAACTAAGGAAAAGCGTCAGATCGAGGCATTGGTTTTGCAAGTTGCCGGGCACGACTGTCGACAAAATGCAGATTTTTAGTGGGATTTCGTAGTCTTGAGACCAGGAGAGGAGGATAGGGAGAGGGTTCGGGAGTGGGCGAAGCCTGTAGAAGAAGAGCGAACGACCAGAAGTTAGCAGTCATTTTGTGCCACCCTTTTCTGCGAGTGCATACTTCCCTTGCTTAGTTGAAGCCAGCGCCGCTGTGTTGCCATGTTTCCATGCTTTGGGAGTATTTCTGAAGTGTGAAGGCCCGTCTCTTCAGTACTGGTACCGGTACCGCCATGGATGATGGCCAGTTCTTTGCTATTACACGGGTGGCCTGGGTCAACAAAAGAGCGCGCTGTCATGGCTGCAAAGTGCATCAATTTTTGCAAATCAACTTGGATTTCATCGCGTTCTGACTGAGTTTCCAGCAAGGTCAACCTTGCAGATGAGGATGTGATGACAACAGCCGCTGCGCGGCCACTGTAACGCCTCCTGATTCGCGCCGTGCCCAGGTTGCCTCGGTGAATCTAGGCTTGACACTGTGTCGTCTTGGGTCGTCTTCGTTGGAGCCAGCCAAACACTGACTCCCGTTCAACTGCACCAAAGCAACGCAACCACTTAGGTTGCGTCTCTGAGTTCTTGTGTGCAGCAGACAGCCTTGAAAACTTTTGTGTTTGTAGCCACTGTGCAATATTTTTTCGTCCTTGTATGGCCTGGGCTATCTGAGTCAACAGAGTTGAGCCCACCCTGGGCTTGTACGTTTAGCAGCATGTATCGCTTGAGGGCTCCACTGAAGCCTTTTAGGTTTGATGAATGGGGGCCATCTTCAACCAGTGTTTGTAGAAAGACAGCCATGAGCAATCCATGAACAAGTTGCCCTTGAGCTCATCATCGATGCCCAGCACTCTAGTGCACTGCTTGTGATTGTCCTGGTACCCTACCTTTTTTTCTGTCAGAAACCACATACGTCTTGCAAAAATGACATGAAGTGGTGTAAGTTTCAGATCAGAACGTTCTGGGGCTGGGCAATCTCTCGTTCCCAATTTTCAAGCAAAGGCTCATGGCTCGTCACAATTTGGGTTGCAGCATTTCATGATCTTTACCTGCTAGTGTGGTTGCTTTTTGTCTTCCATTGCCCAGTGAGGCTTCCAACCAAGCACAATCATGTTAACAGCAGCCGACGCTGCACTTCCGTAATGGGCTGGTTCGAACAATGACTTCAACTTTTCCAAGTCAAGTCTGGCACTCCGTGTGCGGAGAGCTTCGCATTTGCACGAAGGAATCGTAGTTGCTAAGTCCACACTGATATGCAGGCCTACCTGCTCTGTACAGGCACAGGGCCTTGCATGGTATGGACCGGGCCTAACAGCGGCCACTTGGTGAGATGAATTATCTCAAAGCTTGGGATTGCATGTGCCTTGACCATGCAAGAGGGTCAGAGCCAAAACGGAGAAAAAAGGGCGGCCGCTGTATCAAGTTCGGGTAAGATATGCACAGTCAGCTGAAGAACATAGCCCAGCTTCACTGTGGCTGACTTTTTGCCTCCTGCCAGGCCTGGTCACCTCATCGCCGTACAGTCGTCCGGCGCCGCCCACGGAGCCTCCACCCATGCCGCCCTCCGGAGCGTCACGCGGCAAGCAAAGCAAAAGCTCTCTTCGGCTTCCAGCTTATTGGCTTATCGCAGCTGCTGAAGTGCTAGTTGAGTGCACCTGAGGCCTCCACTCCCAGGCGTCAGCTTCGGCCTTGGGCAGCTTGGCCCCAGCATGCCCGGACCGGCACCCAACCGCCACTCGGCACACAATGGTGATGTACACTCATGCTGGTGCGTTTGCGTCAATCCAATTCATAACTTGCAAGGCAATTTGTTACCAAGGGCGTGAAACTATTAGAGAGGCATCAAAAAAGAGAAGCAGGCATGCAGCAGTGCCACGCTCAGGCCTGGCCCCGCAACCTGGAGGTCGCCAGCCATGTGGCTGCCAGGCTCATCTTTTTCAGATTTAGTGAAATTTAGTGCAGGAATTGCGATCGTGGCAGGCCATCGGCGCGGGAGCTATTGGTGCTGGACCGATTGGTGCAGGAACCATCGGGGGGGCAATTGCTCCACCAATGGCACCATCGCCTGACTGGGGCCAATTCCGCCAGGACCTCCACATGCAGCCACAACGTTTCCCTCCACAAATGCAGCCCCAGGCGCCACAGGCTCCACAAGCTCCCCAGGCTCCGCAGGCTCCCCAGGCCCCACCAGTGGCTCCACCGGCCCCAGCTGCAGCTCCACAAGCACCGCAAGCAGTACAACCTCAAACCACTCAATCATTTCAGCCTAAGGCTCTTGGACGCCCAGTGGCACCCCCCAATCCAGACACGCTGCCGCCCCAAGAGCGAGCAGAGCGAGCAGCGCCGGAGGTCTTGCCACCTCGCCGCGAGTCTCCCGAGGTACGTCCTCCCGAGCCGCCCCGCGAGGCCCCTCAGCCACGCGATGCACAACCACCTCGCGAGGCGGCACGTGACCCAGTGCCAGCCCGAGAGCGCGAGCGTGACAACCGCACTCCGCCCACAGGACCCACACTGGAGCGAAAGGGCAGCACAGGCGAGAAGTATGTTCCTCCCGGTTCGGGAAATCGCCCACCACCAAAGTCTGAGCCCAAACCAGTGGAGAAACGCTTCGAAGCTTCCGCCATCGAGCGCCGCAGGCACAGCCAAGGCCTTGGTATAGCTTTGCATCAGAGAGAAGAGGCGCTGGAGGGTGCCCTCCAAATTTGTGTGGTAATTCTACCTTCGAAAAGTTTGGTGATGCATGTGTCCTTGTCCGGACCTGCCCAACCAAGGCGTGGATGCCTGGGAGGAGTCCGGCCCAGTTCGGCCCAAGCCGTCTAATTCCACAGGCCAGAAGGAGAAACCATTTACAAGCTTCGCCCGTAAGACATTCAGCAAAAGGAGCAAAAGCAGTCTATCCTTGATGAGACCCATGCTTGGTAGAATCCAAGATCTCTTGCAAACACTCCTGAGTGAGCTGGCAATGCCCCTGCCATAAGAACAATGGTGCGGCAGGTCCTGCCACTTCTGATGACAAGGAGCCGCAGTTTCCGGGTTGGTCGAGCATCCCGAGGTAATTTGACGCGGTTTTTGCTCAATTTTAAATCAATAGATCAACGAAACAAAATAATCACTAGAGTTCTTTCCGAAAAAGTTGGGCTCCTTGCTGACTGGAATGCCAGCCACGACACAAAGGAACAAACGCAGCAGGTTTCGAAAGACATTACGGCAGAAATTCAACATAGCAATCAGCATGCTGCTGACATCGACGATGCCATCTTATTTCTTCAGGTTTTGCTGCTTCCCCCCTAAGCTAGCAACTACGGAGCTTGAATGACAAGTCAGACGATGCAAGCCAAGAAGGCGCAATGCCATGTTTCCTCCAGCTGGGACCCGGCTGTTTCTCTCAGCTCCTACCTGGAACAGATGCTGTCTCGTAGAACCTCTAACCCCGAATTAGCTCGTTGTTGGACAGAATCCTAGCCCAACACTTGCAGAGGCTTCGCTCCAGCTCCCAGCCATGCCAGGTTGGAAGAGTTGCGTGGCCCATCCATTCTGAAGAACACCAGAGTCAGCTTCAATCCTTGCATTCTGAGGCGGCAGGGAGCCGGCAAATCTTGTGGCACATGCCTTGGAACTCTGAAAACAAACAGGCAAGGTCCCCACTCCCGTTCTCACCTTTTGTTTCCCTCTCTCGTATTCCTTGCTTGCTTCCTTCTTCTTCAAACCCGATTCTGTAAATGCATGGAATCTATCAAACTTAGCTATCCATCCCAAAACTCTGATGAAAATCCTGCACTACACCAACATGACCAAAAAGTAAAACATGCAAGCTCTCTGAAATCAAGGGCAGCATCCTGTTGGAACGCAAGGGTCCAGTCATGCTTTCTCTGAAGCGCAAGTCTGATCTGGTCTCTGTTCAAGCTACAGGGATTGCAGCTGTAAAGCCAGTCTGGGATCCAGCACCGTGCAACCCTTACGTACTGGAACAACTGAGGTCCAGATGTTTGGCCCCTTGAGATTCTTCTGGCTTTCTGCCTTTTTCAAAGCAGGGCAGCTTGAGACGAACCAAATTATAGCACACATCCTCCTAAACTGATGTGCAAGGGTCCGCCCGCAGAAAGATTCCGAGAATTCATACACATGTGGCTTGCAGCAGATCCTGCAGCACCTCATGCAGGACTCCAAGGCCCGCAAGGAGCTGCTCCACGCAGTCTTCCGCGCCTGCGATCTCAACGGAGATGATTGGCTCAGCGAGGGCGAGTTCCGAAACATTGCGGCCTGTATGCAAAGGGGAGAGCAGTCCTGCTTGCAGGTCAACTGTCTAACAGGGAACAACGCTACGCTAGAGGTTTTGCAATATGCAGGTTGGGGTGGGGCATCAAGATGCACGAATCTACTTATAGTGTTGGCTACTGCGGCGTTAGGCTGTGTGAATGGGTGCTACTCAGGCGAACTTCTACGGATTCAAGGGAGACAGCGAGAAGTGGGCGGAGGAGTTCAAGAAGCTCTGCGAGGAGCAGCCCAGAGAAAGCTGAAAGCGTTGCATGAGGTTGGGTTACGATTGGTTCAAGGTGTGACTCAAACGTGGTGAGGCGCTTGCACCAAGGGCTTTGAATGCTGTGGTTGTCGCATCAGGAGCATCACGCGAATCCAAACAAAGGAATCAGCCGGACCCCTGGTACCTGATACCTTTCCCATCCCAAGTCGAGAGCCAGAGCTGAGGGCCGAGCTCCGCTCAGTACTTGTAGATTCTGTAGATATATAACTGCAGTCTGGCAAGCTTTGGGAAATTCGATTGTGCTGGGCATTGGGGAGGTGCCAAAGGGTCATAACCTTCATTACGGCCTGGAGCATCTTCTCTCCCACATCCGTGCTAAGATAAACACCGAACCGAACTTCTTGGCCCAGGCTTCACGATGTTCACCAACTTGTTGAACGACACGCAGGGTGGCCTTCACGCCGACATGGACGATCTGCAGAAGATGCGCTTTGTCCGGAACAGTTACGGAATGCACGTGCTCAGTCGTTCGGGGGGGGGTTCATTTGAGCAAACATTTGCAGCATCTCCCTACTAAAGCCGCGTAGCAGCTTGTGATGCAAGGCTACGAAAGTTGCAAGACCACAAGCAGTACCGAGCTGAGAGCTGTCGGTGTCACCTACATGTACTACAAGTTATGATGTATACTTGCTGCCTGAGTAGACGTATGCTTTGCTTCTTGGTAGTGCATCTCAACCTACTGACGTCACCTGAGCCTAATTTTGCTCTACTTGGCCCGTCAACCCAGTAATATCACCTGAGCCTGACTAGTCCTTGGCGGCTCAACAGGAAAGTCGGAGGCACAGCAGCTGCGAAGAACCAAGGCTGCAGGGTTCTGGAGTTAGTTTTGTTTAACGTGAAGCGGGCAGATTTGCGACCGCATGTTGCCTGGACAAGAAAGCTTTGTGGGGCCTGAGCATTCCCTCAGGCCTCAGGAGCCAGCGCGTGCCACCAACACTGGTGTACTAGTATGTAGTAGAAAAAATGATTTGTAATACTTTGCAGCCGCAATGGCAGCGCCAGTGCCAGCAGCAGCAACTGGAGTTTGCGAAGCAGTGGTGCGCAGAGGGGGAAGTTCCCTGAGTGTGCAGGAGCAGCACCTGCTGAGGGGGAAGGAGATGAGTTCTTCCAAAAGCTCAAGAGGACGTGACCGTGCTTGTGCTTCTAACTCACCAGGGGGACCAGTCATCATGTCGTGTTGATCGGCAGTAGTAGCAGTAGCAGCCCGCTTGCTCCTGCACTTGGCTCGAGACCAAAGTCTGAGCTAAAGGCCCTAATCGGGGCCTTGGCTTGCCTGTCTGGGCATTTGATGTTTCGTAAAAGTCAAAGGGGGTCCCCTAGCACACTTCAGGTTCCGAATGCTGTCTTCAATTGTCTTCCTGATACTGTTATGCCGCAGTGGCAGGAACTGCAATAGACAATAGCAGGGTTTGCATTCCAAACGCTTTTGACACAACCGGCCGAATGGCGGAAGATTCGGGGACGTGTCTTGGCAGAACTTCTCGGCTCAGATGTCGCGCTCTTTAATGCACTGTGTGAACCGCCAGATTATACGCATGCGGCGGCCTTCTGCAAGTTTCAAATTGTGCGCCTTCTTGAAAAATGGGGCTTGCAAGGCTCATTGCGGAGCATCGGGGAAGTTTGACGTGTTTGGTTGCCCGCCTGGGGTCCGGATCACAAGCACGAGGCTGCAGCTGCTGCGAAGGCGAATGCGGCGCCAACAGGAAATGAGGGCGGCTTGGCCAAGATTTGTAACAACGGCACCGGCATTTGTGTCAAGGTCATGTGTCATGTGCACAAAATTCGTGCAGTGTCACTACTTGTAGGATTTAGAGAGCTCAGTGCGAATGCATCCGTCTCAACTGACATGTAGGATCCTATATGGGATAGTTTAGAAGTTCTACTTTTGCTCTGTTCGCTGAGGAAGCTCAGCAACAACGCCAACGTGCCGACGAAATGAAGCTCATAGAGGAGCAGCAAGGCTTGTCCAAGATTTGTGCTGGGCACACTTGTTTGTGCAGCCCATGTTGCTAAAGGACAAGCTCTTTCGGCTAGAGACGGTAGGCAAAGGAGGACTACTCATTTTTTTGAAAATACCTTTTGTTGTGCATTCTTTTGGGTTCTGTGGTCCTCTAGTCCTACGGTCCGCTGGTCCGCTGGTCCTCCGGGCCTCTCGTTCGGTCCTTTGACCTCCCACGAGACTACTGTAAGTTACATCTTTTCGAGTTCTTACAAGGCCACGAATACTTGAACATGCAGCATTTGCGGCTCTTGAAAGACTGAGAATGTTGTAAACTATAGCCTTTGGAGTTTTTAAAAGGCTACGAGTACGGGGGAAAAACAGCCGTAGCAGCTTTTGAAAATTATGAACAATGCAAATCGAGCCTTCGCGGATCTTGAAAGGCTAGTTACAAGTATCACAAAATTGCAGCTTTTGTGACCATTGCAATTCTACGAATATTGCCAGCTACCGTGCGTGGAGTTCGTAAACTACAGCATCTGCGGCTTTGGAAAGGCTGCGAGCACGGAAAGTACAGTATTTGGGATTATTTGGGGTTCTTTGGTAAGGCAGAAAGCACCGCAAATGAAAGCCCATGCAGTGTTTGAAAAGTTGCGAACACCTGACAGGATTCGGAAATCTTGACTGTCTGCAGAAAATGTAATTCCCATACTGCACGCAAGCAAGCTGCTAAGAACCTCCGTCAAAAGCGTCAAACAGCGTGCAAGAAGCTACAATATTCGGCCATGTTTTGCAAATGGAAAGGGGGCTGCGTCCCCCCCCCTGCTGTTCTAAAATCGGGCGCAATAAGAATCCCATTAAAGGTGTGCAAGAAGGCACGTAAAATAGGCATTTGCCATTGCTTCCCGCCTCCAAGAACCCCTTGTGATGCTACCGAATGTTGAGTTCTGCTACAGTCGTACTTCCAAGTGCTATGTTTACCAGCTCTTGCAGCCTCCAAGCAAGCATCCCCGGGGGCAGTGTGCGACAGCGGTAGTTAATTAAGTGCTAAAGTACCCAGATGGTGCATCTTACAATACTTGCTGGCGCCAGCACCAGAAACAACAACAAATTCAAAATGAAAAATAATTCCGGGCCCATAGGCACAGGCAATAAGACATTTTTGACAGTGAGCAGAACTTCTCGCATCTTAGCTTGGAAGCCCAAGGTACCTGGAGTATCTGAAGCGCGAGAAAGCTGCCAAGCAAGAGGATGGGTAAGGTTCAGCTAGCTGCGGTTCAGCTGCACAGTTTCCGCAAAGAGGGTTAACGAGAACGGTGCAATCTTGTACATTTGCCCAAGTGGTGCTAGATTTATGGGACAGGCTTATCTCAGGTCGGGGCTCAAGAGACAATACTAGGATTTTTCATGGCCGTTCCCGAGAATGACAGGCATGTCTCCTACATGTGGTGCTGCGCGGCATGCGTTCAAGACACCGCTCACGAAGTGCATGAGCAGCATCAAGTTAAAAGAGGAGCGACAAATGCGACTGGCGCGGCTCCGATCGTGCCCGCCGAAGGTCCGTCCCCTTTCCGGCATAGCACCCTGGACAGGAATGGAGGGTTTCTTGGCATGTGTGCTGTTGCCGCTCAAAGAGGCATGAACTTGCAGGCTTGGATGGCTGGATTCAGTGCGTTTGCCAGGCCGACTCCGTGGGGATGGGCGCTCGCCAGGCCAGCCACACCTCGATGAACCTCATGACCTCAGCGTCTTGGCAGGACCTGTCACAGGCAAGTCATCATGTGAACCAGATATTGAAGCAGCAACATTCGCCGACATTTATGTCCTTTGTAGCTGCCTCACAAACCAAAACTTGACGCGTCAGTTGATTCGATACTTTTGACTCTCCCGCAGACGATGTCAGTTCAGGTTGCCAGCACCGCCAGCTTGCGAACCGTCACTGCGCCCGTGGTGATTGATTCTAGGATAGGCACAAGTTGGGACTTTGAGGAGTAGCAGGCGGCTGCTTCGAGGTTGGAGGACTTCGACATGGGCTAATTTTAGGGTCTATGGAACTGGCCAGGCCAGGTTTTTTTCTTGTAGGTGTGGCTCAGAGCCCTTGGCCCCGACCCACCTGATCCCGTTGACTGTTAGCACTGTTGACATGAAAACAAGATCTTAGAGCTCAAAATCGATGACTGGCGACCCCGACCCGCCTGATCCGTGTGATTGTTGACAATTGTTGATACCTTTGACACGCAAAGAAGATGCGGGCGGAGTTTTTTTTTTTCTATTGCTGGCTCTTCTCGTTTTCCGTACCGTTGGCCCTTCCTGTTTTTCTTATAAATGGAGCCAAGAACGTGGCCAAACGCTGTCATTCACAACATTTACAGCCTTTCCATTCTTTGAGTGTGTAATCTTCTAAGAGGCACAAATGTAGCTGATTTTGAAATATTTGTAGCTTTTCAAGAATTCCAAGCCCTGTATCTTGCAACATATTTACAATATGACCAACCTTTCAATAGCTCCAACTGCCGTAATTCTGCCGCATTTGCAACCTCTTCCAGAGCTCTAAACGCGGTTGTTTACAGTAATTACTTGTAGCTTTCCAAGAGGTACAAATGCGGGCATTTGAAGCATTTGAAGCTGGGCTTCGAAAAAAGCAGTGGGGTTGGAAAAAGGCACAGTGCTTCTTTCTCACTTGATAAGCGTTGGCAACAATAAGAACGCGTAGAGCGTAGAGGTTATTTGACATCAATATAGCCCTGGATCAGATCAGCCAGGCCTTTGCTAGCTGAAAAACATAAAAGGCTGCAAGTTACAGCACTTGTAACTTTCGAAGAATTACGACTCCCCAGCAGTGTGCTGCCATTACGAAATAGCAGGGGCTTGGTGGCGGCGCAGGCCGCCCAATTTCTGCAAACATGGACGAAGATCAGATCAGGTAGTTTCTTATAGAAATATGATAAGATTTCGGGTTTGGACGAATATTGGAACGCGAAGCTTCTTGCACACAATTGACCGGCTTTGTTACGAAACGCGCTTGCGTTATAGAATGGCGGCGGGTTGGGGGGGCGCAGCCCCCTCCCCATTTGCAAAACATGGACCAAGATCAGAACCTCAGAACACGTTGCTTGTTGCACCCTTTGCTAGGTTATGTTTTGCATCGTGTTGACATTACGAAGCACGGGGGTGGGAGGAGCGCATCCACCTGCCATTTTGCAAAACATTGACGAAGCTCGTAACACCTAGCTTCTTGCACCTCTTTGATGGATTTGTTTTGCATCGTGTTTGCATTACGAAATAGCCGGGGAGGTTGGGGAGTGCGCAGCCTCCCATTTAAAAAGATGGACGGAGATCAGAACACGTAGCTTCTTTCATAGGGCTGTTTGGCATTGTGCTTGCATTACAAATTAGCAGAGGGGTGTTGGGGGGGCTGTGCCCAAAATGGACGAAGATCAGAATGTGCAGTCTTGCACCCCTTCTGATGGGATTTCTATGCGTGCTGCTTGCGCTAAGAAATAGCTCGGTGGGTTGGGGGCCGCAGCCCCCACCCCCCGCGATTTGCAAAACATGAACCTTCGATGTCGTAAATATTGAATTTAAAGCATTCGTAGCTTTCCAATCCATACGCTGTAATTTGCAGCATCCGTAGCCCTTGAAGAGCCGTGGATATGGCACTTTGCAGTGTTCGTAGCCTTTCAAGGAATTTCCAGTTTTGTTGGCTTTGCAACAATTCCTAATGCTGCAATTGACAGTATTCTTCGCTTTAAAAGAATCACGAATACTGTAACTTGCAGTCTCCCTAGCTTTTCAAAAGTTACTCGGAACCTTCCAAGAGTCGCAACCAAAGGCCAGAGGACCAGAGGACCAGAGGAGATGGGAGCACCTGCCCAACACATGATACATCTTGCCATTCTAGCGACCGCTTTGTCGGAGGGTACGCCTAGCTAAAGCCATGCTTTATGGGGGTGACACCCCGTATTTGGCCGCCCAGGATCCGTTTTTTCGGGGTTCAAAAATTTGGAGGGTGTTGGAGCCTCGTATGTGTGGTGTCAAGAAGGAAGCTCCATGATGCTCATATGCTGGCTCTTGGGGGGCTGCTGGCACCTTGAAATTGCCAACCCAAGGCCTGAAATATATGCTGTGGCCAGTATTTCAGGCTCTCAAAGCCAGCCCTGACAGCACCTGCACTGCATGGTAAGCGTTCAAAAGGCTTCGCGTGCGATACCCAGGTTAACCTCTCACAAACACACATTTTGCATTGTTTTTCAGCAAGACTTTAGCACTTTTGTGGCTCCTATGCTACGATTTTGCACCTCTGTTGCCTATCAAGTATGTTGAAATGTTTGCAAAACAGTTACATGTGGGTCAAAACATGGTCAGCATGCACAGGCCAGCATGTTCAAAGCCGTGTATGATGTTTTTTCTTGGGTTTTTGACCCCTCCTGGTCTCAATGCAGCCGAAAGCCCAATTGTGCGGACGATGCTCATGGACTCATGGACGAGGCGCGCTCGCGCGCGTGCGAGCGCCGTACAGGAGCATCATCAGCACAGTTGGGATTTCATTTTGGGTCGTTTTGAGGTAAACAGAGAAAACAAGACTTTGAAAATCCCAAAGACCATCCCAGGTAGGAAGAACGTCATTTTTAATACACAGGAGCATCAGCAGGGCTGGTGCGGGCTTGGGTCAGCGGCCAGGCCAGCAAGTGCCGCCAGGCCCGAAGTCCGACTGGCCGTTGCTAGCTTCTGGAAAGCCCTGGATCCACGTTTTTGTTTGGCGGGATCAAAAACAAGAGGTTTCTGGATACATTTTTGAGTTCTCCACCCCGCTACATGGGGTTTGGGACAATTTTTCCGGCCAGCATCATCAGCACAATTGGGCCTTCGTTTCTCCTTTTTAAGCACCTCAGCCCCCAACATACCTACGCCGGTTCGTCTGCAGAATGTCCACAACTAGGCTTTTTTGGACGGGTGCTGGATCCTGATAGGTGCAGTATCAAGAGGGAAATGAGGGGTGAGACAGGCTCCATGATGCTCTTGAGGCTGCTTCTTGGACACTGCTGGTGCCTAAGTTGTGACGCACACCACGACCAACTGCTCAAAACACGTGCTGTTGGCAGCATTTGTGGCTGTAAAGGCATTACCCTAGCCAAACCCTGTAAGCAGCACATTTCCCGTGATTTCTAAAATCCTTTTGCGCTCGGTTCCAGCACTTTGGAAGCTCCTATGCTACCAATGACGATAATTTTGGTTCTGAATTGCGAAGCTGAAAAATGCTTGCCAGGACATAGTAAGTAACTTGCGATAAAAACATCTGCAAAGCGCTCTGGAGGGTTTTTGTTTGCTTTTCAACATTTCCTGGTCTCAATTCAGCCCAAAATGGAGTCCAGTTCTGCTGATGACGTACACGGAGCATGCGCCCCCCCCCCAAAAAAAAATATAACCCATCATCTGCACAACTGGAGCTCAGTCTATGAAAACATTACCAGTAAAACCCCGTGGGGGCAGCTCTTTTTTGTCATGGGGGCGGCTGATCTATTTTTTTTAGGGGCACGTTCATCCCTCTGACTGCAATCACGAAGATGTGGAAGCTAAAAAAAGCGATGACAGTCACAAGGATGGCGACCCTGACCCGCCTGATCCCTGTGACGGTTAGAGGATGTGACAACTTGAAAACGATGACAGTTACAACGCAGGCCTACAGATTTTGCACGCGTCTCTGCTCAGACCCTCAGAAGTAAGGATGCGTGAAAATCCGAGAGGCCTCCCCCTGCATTTCAGGCCTGTTGTGCTCTGACTACAGCGAGGTGTACGGGATGTTGTGCGGAGTGCCCAGGAAGATACCGGAACTAGCAGCACTGGGCAAGATCATGCTCTCTTTATCATTTGCATCACTGCTAACAGCAGTGCTGTGGCAAGCAAAATAGACAGAGATGGAGAAGGAGCAGGGGAGGTCGAGGAATTGCGTTGCTGCCCGGCATAACCATTGTCAGTAATGATAGGGGTAACCTGAGGGGCGGAGAGCGCAGATGTGTGCAGACGTGCAGGGGGTCTGGAGGCTTGGAGGGCTGGGCCTCAGCCCTGGCAGGTGATTAGGGAGGACCGGCAACTCTGTAGGCGGTCCCGGAGGTTGAAGACTTGAGACAGTTCATGTAGGTTTCTGTCACGGTCAGATGGCATTCCTGCAGAAAGACCCTGTGTTTAGACTTCATGTGCTAGTCAAGTTGCCATGTCCGGGAAATGTGCAAGCCTGTTGCACTCCCTGGTCTTGCAGGCAGCAGTGTAGTGTGCTAAGCGGGGAAGAACATGAGGAGGCACCGCTGGTTGAGGCATTGGCGTATTCATGGTGGGATGTTGACCCCAAGGAATTTGCAGGTGTCAAGCCTTCAAGAACACTTGCCTTCTTGCAGCGCTCAGATCCTTGACGGGGTTGATGGCATCAAGGAAGACCGAGCTGCGACTCCGGAGCCACGAGACGAGCCGGCCACAAATGATCCGGCGGCCGGGCCTGTGGGGTTTTTCTGTTGCTGTCACTGGGCAAGTTTGTCTCGTGAGCTTTGAGTTGGGCCTTTTCTCTGTCTCTCTTTCGCTCTTCGTTCTAGCGTTTTGTCCCTAGGGTGGCTACTTGTAGAAAGCCCGCCGTATGTAGCTCCTGTCCGGCGAAGCTGCAATATCCTGTGAAGCTTGGGGCCTTTGACTCCATGTTGTGTGGATCATTGCTTCTAAGCTTTATTTGTTGCACTGTTTTAACGCACCCAAGCCTACTCAGAAACTCTCATGCCTTCTTGCTCAGTCGCCTCGCTTGGTCGAACCACGTGTGCGTGACGAGATCCCGGACCTTGGGGCAAGAGATGTGCTGGGATGATGGCAGCAGATGCACGGCACTCCGCTAGGCTGTCTAGGAAACTTCTGGCGCATGATGGGCTGGCGCTGCTTTTCCGTGGTTCGACGGTTAGCTTTGTCTTTCATTGCTGGTGGGGCTCACACAAGGTTTGGGTTTCTGTAGTGCGCTACGAGCAGACTTAGCCAGCGGTCCGTGGCAGGAGAACGCCCGCAAATTGTACAGCAAATTCCGGGGCCCGCTGATGCTCAAGCACTTGCCGCTCAGCTCCACTCTATAGCATTCGCGAGATGTTGCAACATAATCACAAGTACTCCATAGCACGTGCTGCAATGCAAGCTGCAGTTTTCATATCGGCACTCAAGTAAGCAATGAAAAACACTGGCAACAACTGCTCAAGCCCAACCAGGACTTTTGCGTAGGGACGCGCCACTCTCCTCATACAGGCGGCAAGGGCAAGCTTGCCGGGGAAGTCAAGGTTGGAAACACTTGTGAAGTCTCAACCCAAATCTGGGAAGCCGTTGATCAAGACGTTTTTTTTCGAAATGCTTGGACTCTGTGAGGAAGGAGCTCGCATCCAGCGATCAGGCGCTGCAGGGCGCAGGGCTGCGCAGGGCCGTGCACGTCTTCAGATGTTCGGAGTACATGTTGGACATGTGCTGAGTTGATCTGAGTTCTTCATCCGAGCTTTGGGATGTAGGCCATGAGGAAAGCACGGGATCTGCTAGATCTCCTCGAGGCATGAAAGGAGGTCCGTTGCAGATTGCAGAGGTCACTGCAAGGCGACTCTCCCAAGTCTCCCCGTCGCTGGAGGCCATGTCTGGGTATCCGCGCCACCCATTGCACCACGAGCAGTGTACACGAGTCTTTCTTGGTTCCAAGGGTTCCTTTTGCATAGGTCCTAGAAGCTAGAGCTTTGCTGCATGTTGTTGCACGTTGTTCTGCAGCCCATAAGCTCACTCTACTGCATGGAGGACTCCAACGAAGATGTGCTGTCCAATGAGCGTGAGAAGGCACTTGGGGTGATTCCTCCAGGGGCACTTGCTGGAAGAGTGTCCAAGCTTGCAGCCCCTGCCCTTGCGATTGATACCGGGTCACCAGACCGACGTCATCTCTGCCACATAGAGTGCCGTCTTATTTGAACAAAGCAAGCAGTGAGTTTCTTCTATCAGATCAGGCATCCAAAAAAGGGTTTGGGTACTTCCCAGTTTCACGCAGCAGCTACCATGACTGCTGCGCCATGCGACTTCCCTCCTTGTTGTCACAGAGGGTGAGCTTTGAGTCTCCCAACTTCCAGGAGTTCCAGCGGCGGTCAGAGCAGCACCTTGCGCGGAGACAGCGGCAGAGGCGTATGCACCAGGCGAGTGTAGGATACGTCGGGATATCTCGGGATTCTGGGGCCCGGGCGCCCGCGTTTTTGTTTTTGATCTCGTCGTCGTCGTCAATGTCCATATTATGTTGATGCTGTCGTGCTTGTGGTCGCTTGTCGTTGTGGTTTGGGCTGCGGTTGCGGTGGTCGTGTTTGTGGTATGTGGTACTTATGGTTATAGTTATTGGTTATTGGTTATTGGTGTCGTCGTCGCCGCATGTGTTGTGTCCTGCATGGAATCTGTGGCAAGCTTCCTTCATCAGCGAAGCCATCCTGCAAAGCCTCTTGACGAAACTTCGCCTTCTCAGCTTCACAGCTTTGTAATTTAAGTATGCAAGGCCATGATTATAATGACCCCATTATAGTGATGATCGTAGCCTCAGGCCTGCAGGGCGTAGTTGGAACATATTTTCGCATGGGCACGTATCAGTGGTCTCGGCCACGTAGTCTGCGTAGTCTGTATGTCTTGTAAGCAAGAAAAATCCACTGCTGCATTGGCATATGAGACTTGAGTACAGCCCAGGGGTGCATACATCACAATACCAAGAGTGTGTTAGTTCGCATAGGCACTCCATGTGGGTATCAGAAGCTGAATTCGCATAAAAACAAAGCTCAGGTGGCAGCTGAAGTGCTGAAGGGAAAGCGAGAGCTGTTGGACTGCTTCAAGGTTTCCGAGCGGGCTGATCTAGATAGGCTGCAACTTGTCGTTGTGGATGGTCTCCTAGCATGCTTCACCCACGATTTGTGGCTATTGGCAGGATGCAGACCTGCCCTCGCGATCACGGAGACATGATGGCAGTTAAGCTGAGGTTGTTGCAGGCAGGCTGCTAAAAATCACTGCTCTGTTCTGGGTGCAAGTGGATCTCTAGGGCTCCGGTTGTGGAGTTTTATGCATGTTCTGGACGTACAGCGTTTGCAACGGACTTTTTGTGATTAGATTCGGGAAGGCCAAGGTCAAGGCGGGAATCGAAAAAAAGACAAGACCGTGAACGGACCAGAGCAGACATGAAGCTACTCGTACCGCCAGATTACCTCTCTGTTGCGGAATGGTTGCTCCCTCAATGCAAGTCTCTCGTTGCATTCTGCACCGTGCTCACATTCCCCACAACATCCTGTGCTGCGACCATAACTCTGATCGTTGAGATGCATGCTACTTCTTGGGTGTCCCTGAAGAGTCTTGTTTGGATTCATGTGTGCGGGGCTGTGCAGGCTTGATTTAGGTCGCGTTGATGCAGTGAACTGTCCATCCTGGAATGGTGGCGTGTCTCCCTGCACATTCCCCATGAACGCTCGCTGACTTCTTGTCCCTGCTCGCTGATAATGAAGTTGGGGGTATGAGCCAAATTCTTCAAGAAGCCGCTTGCGTTGCAGGCGCCGTCCCCCTAATGCAAGTCAGCTGTTCATTTCATTCCCCCCACCAGCCCATTGCGGCGGTGGTGGCGGCGGCGGCGGTGGTGGCGGCGGTGGCGAAGGTTTCGCTGGGTCAGGGTCACGCCCGAAAACACCAACCTGCTGGAGTCCAGCATGTGCCTTGCAGAGCTGTGTGGCTAGCAGCCGAGGATGCTTTCGGGATGCTAATGAGCTCAAGTTTCACTTTATTGCAGTGACGGAGCGAGAAATACCGCGCAAAGTCTCTGTTCATCACGCCGTTTATCACAGTTGACATAATCAAAGGGCATCAGCTGTGAGAACAAGCTTGCCAACGTGTATGGGAGCATGTTGAAGATGGCAGGCTTGTCAAAGACAGCTTATGTCGAAACAATCCTTCAGGAGGTCTATCAGTGTTAACTGTCAGAGACCTTCTTGCTAGCTGGCGTCCGGGATGGAGATGAACAAATGATGCAGTCAGGAGGCTCGTATCACTCACATCAGCGCGAATTCTTTTTGGCAAGTCTGCGGTCATCCTAAGACAGAAGTGAATGCGGTTGAATCTGCAGTGGTAGCAGCCATCGAAGACGAAGGAGCTCGTTGGCAATCTGAACTGCAGCTGGTGCCTCAAGGCGCAGAAAGCGCAGCTGCCTCCGACTTAAGACGTAGGCGGAGTATTTCCGAGAAGGCTTGCGCAAGCGCTCTGTGGGAGAAAAGAATATGTGTGACTTCACCAGGAGGCTGGTACTTTTTGTGCCATTTGTGCCCTTTGAGAGCTGAAGGACTGTACACTGGTACAACAAGCATGGCCAGCTGGTGGAGCAGATCCGTCTGAATGCAGCAGCGGCCTTGGATAGATGCTGTTCTGTGTTGCGTTTCAAGGACTGAATGCTGCTGTTTTGCAGATGTATCCGCATGCTTTGAGGTGCATGAACATCTCTCGGAGATCAAGCCCACACAGGTCCGCGGAGCTCGCTCTGAAATGGGATGCGATGGGATGCGGTTGCCATGAAAGGGATCACATGCTAAACTTGCTGTTATGATGGCGGTAACGCGTTACAACTAAAGGCATGGTGCCCTAGGAAGGGTCTCCAATTAAGATGAAGGCCAATTTTATTGGCAGTTCCTATTGTGCGACAGTGCGAGGAGCGTCCGATGTGCCTGAAGTAATAAAGAGTAGCTCTGGGTATAGCAGATTTTTCTTGGTTTCGGTGCATAAACCCTCAGATGGCAAGTGTCAGTGTCAGTCTTGCCCAAAGCCATTCGTGCTTATGCCACAGGCGATGAAAATCCTCTACGACTTGGACCAGCAGGCGAAGGACAGCCGGAAATCGGACAGCCTGACATCAGCTACATGAATGCCACAAGAACCTAAGCACCAGGGTTTGGGGGGTGCTTAGGTGCCCGCCCTGACGTCATCCTGCGACCCACCCCCATCAATCCTCAAGGCATGATGCAAAATCCCAGCCAGCCGGAGATTGCAAACAGTGCAGGGCTGTGCGTGCTCTCCTGCGCAGCGTAGAGGTGCAGCATTTTTTCATTTTCCTCTACTATCGCATGCGCAGCTGAAGCGAGGAGACTCTGACGGATCCAACAGGGTGGATCATCAATCAGGCCGGGTCCTGAGGAGACTCGCTCAAGGAACCTCCAGGCACAAGGGTTTTGTTTCAACGCATCCTGGCCGGGCAAAAGTCGGATGCATTGCTCCCTGCCAGCTAGCCACGTGCATCGTTCAGTTTTTTGCTTTTGCGCAGCTCTCGCGATAGCCAAACTCGGAACCTGTCGGAAAAGGCCGGACGTTCCCACCCTGAAACGCGTCGATAAGCTGAGGCCAAGCAGCGCAAACTTGCCAACGAGACGAAGGGCAAGGCTCCAGAGCTTGTCTAGAAAGAGCCAGGGACCAGTGTAAACTGCAAGCCTGCACTTAGGTCATGGAACCATCCTGTCTCACAGTCTCACGGTCTCGAAATAAAGATTAACTGTTGACTGTTGGACAGCAGCTGTCAGACGCTTGCTGATTGTTGCATGCAGGGAGATGGAAAAGGAGAGAGGGATGGCGAGCACAAGGGCAACAACAAGACTGAGAGTCCCCTGGCTCTAGCATGATTGCCATGCTTGGGGCTTTTTGGGCGTTTCAGTCACTTTGATGTGACGCACCTGCGACTGCAATTCGCAGAGCTGATGTTGCGTGTTTGATGTGATTTTGGTCACCTGCGGCATGGAACCATCAGCATGCCCCATTTTCCGACTGGAACTGAGGCAAGGTTGAGACGAGCAAGGACGCAGTTCCAGAGTGGCGTAGCCGCTGTCTCGGCAGTCCTAATCTTCTACGAGTACGAGGACTAGTAGTATGTAACAGTCGCCGTCGTGGCGTCGTCAGCAGCAGAAGTACCACAAGGGTGATTGGGGGTTCTGAAAGTTTGCGGGTTCTTCGAGGCTTTGTATTATAGGATCGAAGTTGTTCTTTAGATGCACCGGTCTCAGACCAGGTTTAAGAAAGAGTTTTGGGTTTGGAGTTTTGTCTGCATCAGGTGTGGTTGCGCTTCAATGGGTTCAGGCTCATAGGGCCGAAAGTCAAAATGGCTTGAGGCTTGCAAGCCTAGTGCCGTAATAGCTTTTCGGGGGTTTGAGGGTGTGGGTGTGCAGTTGTTGGATTTCTAGGTTTGACTATGAAAATGACCATTGCTAGCAGGTGCAGGGTCTAGAGGGCATTCCAATCTTGGCCAGCTTGCTATCCCAACCACGACCTGCCGGATTTGTACACCCCAATTGGTCAGTCGCCTAAGAGCTGGCAAGTCCAACCGCACCTGGCCGCAAAAAGATGCAAAAAACAGGGACATCCCCATTCCTGAAGTGCCTTGCACAGGCCAGAAGTCAGAGGAACTTGATGAGAAGAACCACAAGTCAGGCAACAAAGGCCGACCCGCACATGCTAGCGTTGCTGGCACCATGACGGTAGAGGCAAGTTCATGACGGGGAACCAAGGTAAGCACTGAAGTACTCAGGCTCTGCTGTGCCAATGCGCCCTGGTGCTTGAAACCTTGGTCTGTGGGCTGTGCCGTTGTCTGGATACAATTTCCCAACAGAGTTGCTGGCAAGGCTTTCGGTGTCGTAGTAGGCCCTAGTAGGCATGAGATGCATTCTTCGACCACAGGGCCTTTCTCTCAAGCGCTGTTCCATGATGATTCTCTGAGCAGGTGCTGGAAAAGGTGCCTCGAACGCAATCAGAGCAACGCAACGGGCTTGTACGTGTCTAGCGGGCCAGCGGTGAACCAGAGGAGTGCTTTCTTTCGAATGTTTCGCATCACCAGCGTGACAATCAGTTTTAGTGCGAACGGAAGTGTGGGCAGAGCTTGTGCGGCTCGGAAGCTGTGACTGTTTGGCAGGGAAGGCCGATGAGGGCGAAGAGCAGGAGACCGATGAGCGCCCTGACTTCGAAAGACATATTTGCTTCATGTCAGTCTCAGGACAAGGGTCGAGTCTGTGTTGCGCGTTCTGCTTAAGAAGCCATTCCATTGCACGATGGCCTTAAGACCCTTAGGTGTCCAGGCAGTGTTGCCAGATCAAGGGAGGGTAGCATGGTGGATGTGGTGGAAGGTTCATGCAGTTCTCTTATGATTGATAACATTCAAGCTGTCAGGTTCCGGGCCAAGATGAAGAGGACCATCAACTGGTGCTCACCGGAAGGGATCCTGGAGTCATTTTGCAGCTCCGAGTTCGTACACGTTTGTGCCAAAAGTATTGCCTTGAGCTTGAATGGTTTTGTTTAGGGTTTGGCCATGCCCAGGGCTTGTGCAGGAGGGGGGAGGGAGGTCGGGCGCCGGGTCACCATCGGACGACTGCTCGTACCACTAGAATTACCTTGAGCTTGAATGGCTTTGGCCAGGGTTTGGCAGTGCGCAAGGCTTGTGCAGGGGCGGGGGGGGGGTGTGGGTTGGGCGCGGGGTCGCCATCGGGCGACAGCGATGGCAGCGCTGCTGATGATGTTTGCGGCGGCGGTGGTGGTGCTGATGGTACTGGAAGTTGGGTAGCGGCTCAGGTGGTTGGCATAGGCGCTGTCACCATTGTTGCTTGCTCCTGCCGTGTTGTCGTTATTCCACATGCTGCATGTTTGGCCTGCGCTTGTTCCTTTCGATTCCTTCTTGTTGGTGATGCATCTCTTTTTTTTTTTAAAAAAAAATCTTTTCTTGTTCAGCATAATTAGCAGTTGGAGTATCTACCGGGAAGAGGTTAACGTCAGCATCGCCCTCAGAAATTGCAAGATGATCACATTTGCAGGTACAATCGCCATGGAGGCCTGCTGGCGCCAATCCGCTTCCAGGCGCGTTGATCACGCCCCAGCAGGTTCTAGTCCTGATCTTGTGGCCTGTTTGAAATGAGGCAGCCTTTGGATGTGTCTGGCAGTTGCGCGGATATCTAAAAGGATGCAGTGAACAGCGGACAGGGATCAGGTGGTCAAGTCAGGCGATATACATGGCAAAAGTGTCATACTACATGCAGGCACAGAATTCGTTTTTGCAATCTAGCCAATGGGCCTGGCTATACAGCTCTTGTAGTTTCCATGTGTCTATGACTTTTCTTGATTTTTCTCAGAGACTATCTTACACCGAATGGAATTTTCGTTGCTAAGAACAAAAAGGCGGACGCGTTCCAGTCGTACAGTGAAGCCGCGGAGCACGGCCCAGTTGAGTGCGGTCGGATGACTGCATGATCTGTACATTAGCAGCAGCAGCGGCAGCAGCAGCGGCGGCAGGCGACGTTCGGCAGCGGGCAGCGGCAGCGGGTAGCGGCAGCAGGTAGCGGCAGCAGGTAGCGGCCGCGGCGGCAGCGATTGCAGCAGCACTGGCAGCAGCGGCAGTCAGCGGCAGCAGCGGCGGCTCAGCGGCAGCGCCAGCGGCTCAGCAGCAGCAGCAGCAGCAGCAGCAGCGGCAGCAGCAAGTAGCCAGGCATGTCAACAAGCACCCACATGTTGCATTGTGGACTTCCTGCGCTTGTCGTGTGTATGCTAGAAGTCCAGCTTCGACAGGAAGTGATCCAAACTCTTGGCATGACCGACCCTCGGGTGGCCATGAGGCAAGGCATGCAATCTGAGAGTATTGGGCATGCTGGGCTAGGTATTTTGGGATATCTTGTATCACAAGCGAAGCAGAAGAGGAGACCGTGCAGCAATGCGCAACATGAACGCGATGCGGGCATTTGGTTTCGAATAATTCTGGCTGCTCTTGGCTGTCCAATCATGTGAAATGCTTTGTTGCCAGTCCAGCAGGCCCCTCCAGCTGCACAGTGTTGCACAGGATTCTCAACGACTTGGACCAGGCCAACGCCGAAGCTGTTTTGCAAGATCCCACAAAGTGGATCATCGAGGACCATGGCAGGGTTCAATATGACTCATGTGCTGCATGTGGTATGCTGCTCGTCCTTAAGTCCTGGTGCCCTGCCACATAAGCCCTAGCCTGGCTGTGGACCACAAGTTGCACAGGAGTGTCGCAGGCGTGTCATGGCCCCAGGATTGGATGGCGCTGTCGCTTGCTAGTGTGAGAGTTCCAGGGGTTCGTTTTCAGATTAAAAGTTGGACTTGGTGGCCTGTTTGGGGTTCGTCGGGCTTGAGATTGGGCACGATCCCTTCTATGAAAGTTGTGCTTGTTCTCCATTATTGCATTGAAGCTCATAGTTAGGAATCTCTCGTGACCTTGGTTAATGCTGCGGCTTTGGGCCTCTAAAGCTGGCACTAGGGCGCGCGGAAAGCATGGCACATGGAGCTTATGCAAGTTGCCCACACTGAAATAGCTGAGCATACAGCATGATTTGGCCGCCAGTGATGGGCTGCTTTTCATGCCGCGGCCCATGACGCCTCAGAACGCCGCAGTCTGCCGTGCAATGCGGCGAGCCTGGGAATGGCGAGTGTGGCATGATGCATCTAGTGACCCAGTTGCACTGCTGCAGAGCCCCATGGAATCCTGGACTTCAACTTTCCGTTCCGGCACATCGTTTGTACAACTGTCCGGCGCTCCTGCTCTTCAACCTCCGCTTCAACTTGTGGTACTGCACCATGCGGTACTTTGCGCTCGTGGGGCTGCCAAATCAACAACATGGAGAGATGCCCTGAAGGGCGAAGTTTTGAGCGAGGTCGAACGCAGTCAGCGCCGTGCCATTCTCCTGTGAGGCTGGTTGCCAAACACTGGCAGGACTCAGCAGCATGGACCCACACGAGGATAGTGCCTCTAGCTACAATATCTCATGACATCATGGATGCTGATGCAAGTCCAATACATGTTTCCTGGCTTACCTGCTTGGGCTTTGACTCAACAAATGGCCTCGAACTCTTCTTGCGCTATTGTTTTGCATCTTTCATGTTATTTCGCTCCCCCTAGGAGCCTCGGCTCTGAGTCCGGCTCGGGAGAACTCCACAAGAGAGTTTGAAACAAGGGATGCCTGGTACACCCTGCACACAAGTTTGAACGTCTGGAAAACATGTCCAGCTCCTGAAGCAGCATGTCGTGCCGTAAGCTATCTCGTAAGCTCTTCTTTTGCCAGACTGTTCAACAGATGTCGGTACCTCGGTTGCAATGGAAATTCCTGATCGCCATGGCTACGCTCCTGCCAACGATGTCCGAGAATCGAGGGTCAAGTTTGAGGACTCCGAATATGAACCTCTTCGGGTCGGAAACAGCGTCAGCGCCTTGGAAGCCGACCTTGAGGAACTGAAACTGCAGGAAGAAGACTTGGCATTTCAACTTGATACACTCAACAAGGCCTTCAGAGCACGCCAGGCCCCGCTCGAAGTAAACCTGAGCTATCTGCGTGTTAGCATCCGTGACAAAGAGCTGGCCATATCGCAGCTGAAGCAAGGTGAAGATGAGGTAAAGGGCCCCAGGAGCCTTGCTTTTGTCCACGGCCAAATGTTCACAGAATTATGCTCCCTGGTCATCATTGCAAACATGGTCGTCATGGCTATTGAGTGGCAAGCAGCAGAGAAGCAGTCATGGTTTGCCTGGGCAAACAGGGGTTTCCTTGCATTTTACAGTCTTGAGCTCTTCCTAAAGGCTTTGTACTACCAGGGTGGCCTGCTGTGTGGTCGCTGTACTGTTGTTTGGTGGAACTGGCTGGACCTGCTTATCGTTACAAGCGGTGTCGTGGAAGAGCTTGTCCTTCCCATGCTTAGCAGGTCTGCTGCAGGACATGCGCACCTGACTGGCCTAAGGGCTTTGCGGCTGTTAAGACTGGCACGCCTGGCTCGTGCCCTGCGGCTTCTGCATTTCCTGGTGGAGTCGGACCTGTCATGGACGCAGCACCCGGCCTTCGAGAGCTTCATGATGGCCATGATTGTCATCAATGCAATTGTAATGTGGCTGGAGCTAGACTACCCTATGCCCTTCTGGTCTTGGCTGGAGCATGCCCTGCTGGTCATTTATACCTTTGAGCTAATTGTCAGGGTGGCCTATCACGGCTGCAGGTATTTCGTGCATGAGGATTGGGGGTGGCACTACATGGACTTTGGCATTGTTATGCTTGGAATCCTTGAGCAGTGGATGATCCCCACGTACAAGTACCTGTATTCACTGCTCGTGGGTACCAGTCATGCCTCTATAGTTTCTATGCCGGTTGTAAGAAGCCTGCGTGTTGCTCGCGTGTTAAGGGTATTGCGGCTTGCTCGCGTGCTCAGGGAGGTGAAGCAGCTTTACAAGCTCATTAGCGGTGTGCTGGACTCGCTCGCAAGCGTTGGATGGGTCATCGTTCTCACGTTTATCCTACTGTACTCTGCTGCTCTGGTTTTCCGCTGCTTGGTCGGCGAAGGGTATATCTTCAGCCATCCTGAGGAGATTCCGGAGGAAGCCGATGAGCTATTCGGAACTGTTTGGCGATGTTTCTTGGCTCTCTTCAAGTTGATGAACGACGACCAGTCTGTGGTTGCACCGATTATTACCACGGTCTCTGGACAAATCCTTTTCTATGTCTTCATGATGATGTCCAATTGGATGATGCTGGCAATACTAACTTCAGTAGTATCAGACAGCATGATGACAGCCTCTCGGTTGAAGGACGAGGAGGATCGAAAGAAGGCTGAAGAGGAAGAGCGTGAGCGAGCCAAGCGGCGCATTCGGCAAATCTTCCACCAGCTGGACCAAGACCAGAACGGCTCTATCTCCGAACAGGAAATGATGCAATTGCTTTCAGATCCCAATCTGCAAGCAGAGCTTTGTGAAGCTTGTCGCCTGGATCCTGGAGAGTTGGTGGAAACCCTCTACTGTTCCAGCTACCGAACGCCTTCCAATGAGAGGGTGATACTTTACCGACAGTTTCTGGCAATGTTGGGGGATGTGTCAGAACCTGCAAAGGAGCGGTCAATATTGAAGGTCTTGGAAAGTTTGCGAGCAATGGAGTTCCGACTGGAGAAGAGGTTGAGTGCGGCGCTTCCATATCTGAACATGCCACAAGATGAGTTAGAGGCATTGCCTTCTCTAAATGAGGAGCTGCAGCGCACACGCAGGCTGGAAGACTCGCCAGCACGCTCCCTCGCCAAGCAGCTGTCCAGGAAAAGGGTCGAGCTCTGTACAGATTCTGCAGGCAGTGCTACATTCCGTTGAGACATGAGACAGACGAGCCACACGAGCCGTGCCTTGAAGCCAAAAAGCGCCGTCCTCGGGAGATCCACTTTTGCTTGCGAGGATTTCTTTTGGCATTTTCTACTTACTTTTTTGGGAGATGTCCGTCCTACACCACACGTAGGAAACAAGGGCAATATACCAGAACATACCATCTCCAGCAACTTTGGAATCAGGCCAACCTCTGAGCTGCCCAATTAAGCCACGGGCCATCTATCAGTACCACCCTCAGACCACCCCCAAAAACCAATCCCTATTGGCAATTTGACTTAGGATAAATTGGCACCAGTCCCAGAGAAGGGGGCGTGCAGTGGGAACATGTGGGAATATTCCAATAAACATATCTGAAGAACGGAGCGGTGACCACAAATTGAGCCCTGCATGCAGGTGTCCAGGATGTTCTGCTCCCTGCACGACCAGGATTTTTCCTATGTGGTGCCAAAGGGAAGACGACTGAGATTGTGACCAGTTCGGCGGTTTGTCGACATGCCAATCTTTATGCAGGGCAGCGTCGCAGGCACAGAGAGCAGGACACAATCCAACCATCTTAGACAACCATACCGCAAGCCTGCACACAAACCTGCGCGCATCTGCGCGCAAGCAGTTTGGACAGCTTCGTGGAGACGCTCTTCAAAGAGAGGGCTGGCATTGCTATGCAATACATCTAGGAGACCGTGGGTGGAGCAAATCTTGCACTACCCTAAGTTACATTATTTTGGGTTCCGAAGTGGTGCAAGATTTCCATGCACCAGCATCAAGGCCTAGAAGAATGGTGAGCTGCACCTAATGCAACATTTCCGTGGAGCTCACGCCCCTCCATTTTTCCTGGACTTGCCGGGTGACAGCAATGGTGCTTCTCTTGTGTTGTCACGGCGACAGGTCGCCGCAGTCTGCAGTCAGTGTGTTTCAGAAATTGTATCCGCCGGCATCTGGACGTCCGGTCAGGGCACGTTGCTGCGAGTGAGGAAAAGTCACTCCTGCTCAATGACAGTGAAGCCTCATATAGATCTTCCATCGCCCCACACACCTGCACATTGCCCAGGTCGCAGGTGACAAGGGCCCCGCTCTCAGTGCTATGATGTTGTGCACAGGTGCGCTCTATGAAGATTATGCAGCTCAAGTCTCGCCACTTGCCGGATCATCGCCACTCATCATAAAGCCATGGGCGCAGATAGTCGTATCTTTGGAAAATCTGTGGTGCGTGTCTACTGCTAGGCATGCCATGCATATAGATCAGTCCAAATCACGGGAAGGAGCACGTACAACAAATCCGCAAAATCCGTCTCCTATTTTGAGCCTCCAACTTCCCGGAAGAATATGGGTAGGCCAGGATCCCAATTTCTGAAAAATGTCAGAAGAGGAGTGGTAATCTCCTGTCTCAGCTTGCTTGCTTCACATTTTGTATGCAGATGCGCTGGCCTTAGAGCACAGTCCGTGCTTCAAAAAAGGAGTGGTAATCAAACCAAGAAAAAATCCGGGTGTCTGCATTCTAAAAAGTATTCTACCCCTCTTCGTACGAAATGCGGGCATCCAGGATTTTAATGGGGTGGGTGGGCGGGAGTGTAAGAATACTGAATAGGGGCATGACGTGGGTAGCAAGAGTTAACGTTTTCTTGCAGAGGACACCCCAAATCCATAGCCTGTGCGTGACATGCGCATTACAGTGGCTCCCGCCAAGGTGCTCCAAATTCGCAGACTTCCGGAACACGTGTTTCTGCTTCAAGTGTCCGATCCTTAATGTAGACAAGAAGTGGCGAGTTGGCCCACCCGGGCGCATCAATCCTGCATCATATTGGTAGGCTGGGCAAAAACCCAGATTGTCATCTTGAGTGATTGGGGGGAAATCAGAATTGGACGTGGTAGGTGCAAAGCAAGTGCAAGTAGCACAGTACGCCTTGAAGCTTGCATGGCGGAGCATGTATTCAGATTC